GTGCTATTTTTAATATTTAGAAAAACATTAAAATCTTCAGTATAATAATAAGCAAAGAATGCAGCACCATTATTTCGATATTCATTAATTTCATTTTTATAATTATATTCTTCAATTATTAATTCTGTAATAAATAAATGTTTTGGAAGTTCATGTTGAACATAAAATGCAGAATCTGAACTGTTTTCAATTTCAGATTGATTATAAAAACCAAGAGTTTCGTTTGATATTGATTTAAGAAATTCATCTATTTTTTCTTTAGAATTTAACATATATGACTTCCAAGTGGTATCAGTAAATCTATATTTATAAACTAAATTTGCTGTTGAATCTAGTTTTTCAATAAATTGATTAAAGAACTGCCTAATCATACTAATTCGTCTTAATTTTTCTTCAAATCCACAATTAAGATCAACATGAATTTTATTATTATCTATGTCATATGTTACACCTTCTGTTTTATATTCAGTTTTATATTCATTATCATTTATTGATCGTGTGTATGGTTCATATTCATCATAAATTTGATCTCTGTTTTCATCTTCATCTATTTGTTCAATATTATTGTTTAAACTCCATTCTTAATTATTTTTAATAATATCATAATTATAATCATGTATTCGTTTTCTCTTTCATTCTTAAGTTAATCATTAATATAATTTTAATATTCTTGAGATATTGCTTCATCATCTATTTCAGTATTATGTTTTAAACTCCATTCTAAATTCTTTTTATTAAGTTCTTTTTGAATTTTTGCATCGTCAATAGATTTAATTGTTGAGGCTTTCTTATTAATTAATCCAAAATTTGTTTATCAGTTTTATTTAATTTATCAAATACTATTCTCAAAAATGGTTGCTCTAATTTTATAATTGATTATTGATAATTCTTAATTTGAGTATCTAATTTTCTTCTAAGTTCAAAATAATCATTTCTAGATTCGATACCCATCTTCAATAATTCTTTTCTACATTCTCTATTAAAAATTTTAGTAGATGCTGATTTAATAATTCCATCTTTAATCCTAAAACAATCCAAAATTTCTTCTTCGGAATAAGTTTTAATTAATTTGTGAAAATTCTTTTTCAAGTATTCTTGTGTAGTGTTCATTTAAGAGGAGAAAAAAATAAAATTATCACTTTGAAATAATTAATAAAAAATAATTACCCTAAAATAATTAAACCTAAATAACGGAGCGAAGCGACGAAATTGTGAGGATTGAGGATTCCCGAAGGGTGTCCGAAATCAGCACAATTTATATACTACTATAACAAAAAAATGATTGTATTATTATTGTAATTATTGGTTTTTAAAAATTTCAAATATTTAATTAATAATAAATAATCAAATTGTGTAACTTTATTTTTTGGCAATAATTATTGTGTGGTAATTTAAAAATAATTCATGTTTATATTTTTAAATAATGAACTATAAAAGCTGTGAACCTTTTGTTTATTATATTCAAACTTGGTGATCAGTAAGTAATAATTACTTTGTTATCAAAAAGCACAACAAATGGTTATCACAATTACATACATGTTATTAATTTAATTATCTTTGGTTTAATTTCACAACATTTCAATTATTAAAAAAATTAAACATGATGTTAACGTTTTATATAACAACTACAATAAAACTGTGTTTTTGATATTTTTGTTCTTTAAAAACAAGATCAATTCATTGGTTAATTTATAAATATTTATTTTTGGGTTTACCAACTTATTTTTGTAACAAATAACATTATCTTTCATTATGTTTGTAAAACATTTTGTTTGACACTAAAATGTTATTCAAATTTTTTCTTTGGCTAACACAGCTAATTTGTTTTTTTGTTGTTTGGGATAAGTTTTGTTTTTTCGAAAAAAAACAAGGAAAACTAACTACCGTTATATTTGATTTGGGGAGGACTGACTTTTGTTATTTTCATTACATTTTTTTATATTCAAAAAACAAAAATCATATCATTAAATTTGTAATGTCGACGCATCATTTAAAATATAAACAAGTTTGAATTGTATATCAGAACAATACAAATCAAATTTTGATATCGTAATATCTCAATTTGTTAATAGTAAATCACACTTAAATTTAAAAAGTTTTTTTTGTTTTTTTATATTTTTTTGAATAGTCTAAAAATAAATGTTATTTTAATTACTCTACCGACATTGTAAGGTTAATACAATTGTGTTTAAATAAATAAAACACATAAACATTATGAATAACACATATTAACTCAATAATTTATAAAAATTTATTTCAATTAGATGGTTTAAATTGTTATTTTGCATGAAGATCAAATCTTCTTATTTATTTTGGGATCTTGTATTTCAGTGAATTTACACATACATATTCAAACATTTTTTGAATATTTAAATTGTATTCTGCTGACGTTTTAAAAAAACCAAAAGCTCCAATTTCTTTTGCTAATTTGATTCCTTCATCGTTTTCTACGAAGTCGTAATGTTCTTCTGTTGTTTTGTTGTTATTAAATAACAAATCAACTTTAGTTTCAACCAAGACAGCAAGTGATTTTCT